GTCCGGGCTACTGATTGGGGTGAGCGTAGGGGAGGGGGGTGTCCAGGGTGCTGAGGGGAACCATGCCATACCAAAAAAGGTTGAAGGGATCTGTTTCCTGCCCGTGTGGCGAAAGAGAGGTTTAGGCTGAGCTGCCAGCCCTAAGAACCACACGGACTGCGTGTGGGTAGGTGGGGCTGATCCCCGAAAGACAAACAGATCGAGGAATTTTCGGCGAAGTGACCTTATTTGCTGTCCACAGAGCAGTGGCTTGTGTAACCCACTCTCGCGCGTGGATCCCGGCGTCTAGCCAGATGGCGGGTTTGTCTCCTCCAGTGCTAAACTGCAAAACAAATGTAAAAACGTGAACGGCGGGGTCTCCCCCGCTGCGGCACCTCGCCCCTCTGCTCCCCCTGGAAGCTCTCTCTGGCCCTCTTTCTGTACTGGACGGGAGGACTGAGAGAGGAGGAGAAAGTGTCGGCAGCGATGCTATCGATTAACCCTTAGCATTTAGCGTGACAGAGATCTATGGATGTAGATATATGTATCCCAAAATAATGTGGTTCCTTCCTCTTCATGGAAGCTTGAATGCAGGCTAACAAGAGAAGCATATTGTTTTTCTCCTTTGATGTTTGCTAAAAAAAAAAAAAGTTGCGGGTAATGTAACGACATAAATATGTTCGTCACATGTTGCAAATTGGGAAAGATGGGTTACAAAATTGTATGATGTCATTTTTACTTTCTCAAAGAGCCTGTTCATGTGTTCGTGTGTCCGTATAAATGTACACACATAAACACGTGAGAAAAAGGGAGGGGGGAGAAAAAGAGAAAGAAATAGATTTTTAAAGAAGTGTTAACGGCCATTAGCTCACAGTTATGGAATCAGAATCACAAGGATTTGTTTCCTTTTTTGCTATTATTTCTTTATTTTCTAATTTTACGCAGTGATTGTGTCCTTATTTGTAATAAAAATTCTCGTGATAAACTCTGGAGTCCTTCATAAAAACAGAATGGTAGGCTCTGGGGGTGCTTTCCAGAGTTTAAATTTTATGATCTAAGTGTGTCCGTTTTATTTGGAACAGTGGCTTTGCCAATTGGATCAGTAAATGGGGAGGAAAAGATTATTTTTGCACCATCAAGTTCTATCTCTGTGCAGCCTTCTAAACATAGCAGATAAGGTAAATGAGAAATGCAAATCCTTGCTAAAAATTACATTTCACGGGCTTTAAGTTGAATGTGTTGGTGTCTTTTCCTTCAAAGAGTTCAAATATAAAACGCGGTGAACTTTCAAAAACACCTACTATCCTTAACCAGGGAACCACCCTGGAGAAGGCAAGAGCAGGAAAACCCAAGGGGAGAAGCCGGGATTTCCTGACCCAGTTGTAGAAGAGAGGAAAGGAACTAAAAGAGAAGGCAGCAGTTAATTATTAGCAAATGCACCCCAGTAACAAAAAGTAGGTAACCACTCGTCCCAGGCCTGTTTGGGGGGACCAGGGGGGCTCGTTCTGGAGAAACTCATCTGTCCCAATGAGTCGGCTGGTTCGCAGCCATAACGTTTCCAAATTTAGCCGGGAGTTGTGACATATTTTTCTTTTCTCTTAAACTCTTTCTAGGAAATCTGGGGAAATAATTTTCAATGGTTTTCAGGGCAACGTGGGAAAAAAAAAAAAAGAAAGAAAAGAAATCGCCAGTACTACGACTGTCAGAGGTTACAGACTGGCGAAAAACCAGAACCTTTTTCCACCTAGCACCCAAACACGCCTACGTTTCTGAGCTTTGCGGGGCGTTTACCCGTCACCCTGCACCCTGCGCAAACTCCACGTTTCTTTCATGCGGTTTAGGCAAGCACTTGGCGCTTTTTTTTATTTTTTTTTTAAGCTCTTGGTTTTAAAAAAAGGGGGGGTGGAGGAACGAACAGAGGAAAAGAAAGAGAAACAAGGCACAGAACTCCCTCTTTAATTAATTACAGATTATCTCCCCCATTCTTCCTCCAGCTCACCCTGGGGCCCGCACCATCTCCCCCATCCGGTCCCCGACCCTGAGGCCAGCACCATCTCCCCTACTCCCTCCTCCGCCAGGGTCGAGCCACCTCCTCCACAACCCCCTCTCCAGAGCCCGCACCCCCCACCCTTCCCTTCCTCTGTTCCTATTGGCGCGTCCGCTCTGGTTCCCAGCGAGCGAATCTATCAAGATGAGAGCAGTAATTCACTCCTGCAGACCTGCGTCAGCCAGAGCAGGAAAGAGAAAAAGAAAGAGACAGAGAAGGGGGAGGGGTCGTGGGAGATGGGTCCACCAAACCAGCAAGGACCGGTTAGGAAGGGAAAAGGGGGGGAGGGGGAAGAGGCCGCTCTGCTGGCCGAGCCAGGACTGATGGCCCCGCTTGGGAGGAGCGGGATTCTAGAAGCCTCGGGAGTAAAGACACCGTTACACCTGTGTACCTTAAGCACGTTCATGGGCCGGTTTTCGAAAGAGGAGCCAATGTTCACTTTGCTCACTAGATCAGGGTGTTCAGCAACGATGGCATCCATTTCTTGGGAAATCTGAAATGTTTTGAGATAGTTAGGCATTTGCGAGTGAATGAGCAGATGCACCATCAGCAACTTTTCTCCCCCTTCTATTTCCATTCCTACAGGACAGAGTGGCGCGGATCTCACTGTCCATTTTGTAGGACGGGGGCTTCTGAATCAAAGCTGGAAGAGGATGAGTCACGGGGTCCCCGCGGGGGCTGGAAAAGGAAAAGAAGCCATTTTGCGGCAGCGGAGCCGGCTCCTTCCAGTGTTGTGCTTAAAACAAAATGGCACGTCTCTGGCTAGCCTAGGGATCCCCTCAGCCGAACTGCCCCGGCCAGAAAGCTGCTCGTCCCCTCACCCCTTTTCAGAAGCACCCTGATAATAGTGGCACCCCCAAAAAGATGGATTTAAAAGCAGCAGGTGGGTGAGGGTGGGCTGGGGGGAGCCTGCCTCTGTCCTCTTCGGTCATCATTTACTCTGGCTCCTCTTTGCAGGGCTGGTTGCAAGCTTGTTGCGGCTGGGGCACCCAAGCTGTGACCATTGCTGAGCTTGAGACATGTCTGGGTGTGTCTGGAGAGTTTAATAGTACGTCCAGACACTGCCAACACTTGTTCTCAGTGGGACACAGACACCAATTTGTGAGGCCCGCAAAAGAGAGAACACATCTTGTTATCTCCACTCCCTTTTTCTCTCACTTTCTGTATTGATGCATAATATCTTGTTTGAAACCCTCAGAGGCCATACTTCACTTATATGCCAAAAAAAAAAATTTTTTAAAGGAAAAGTTGTAGGAAGCACATCTGTTATATGATACCTGTGACACTGCTCCATATTCAAACACATTAATATTTCTAGCAGTGACTAAGTAAGCAGCAAGTCTGTTCTCTAATTTGGCCACGAGAAGAGTTGGGGTCAAGTCAGGTTTTGCCACCAAATAAAGTAGGAGAAAAATGTTTTCAGAGTTCTTTGCATTTTAGAATGGATCATTTGGGGAATCTGCTTATTAGATACCGCTGACTGGGCACTTTCCTATTTCTCCCCCTTCCCTTTTCCCCCTAACCCCCCTCTCCCTCATCCCCTCCCTATTCCAAGTCAGTCAGTGCAAGTAGAGCCCTGTATGTCCCCAGAAAAGCCCCGTGTCATAAAGAGGCAGAGGTGGCACTGTCCGGGTGCCTGGGTGGCATCTAAACCCAGGTCGAGGAAGGTTCACAAGTCACTTGCACCAACAAAACTCAGGAAAGACAGCAGAGGCTTTGCCACCATGAGGTCTGGAGCATTAGCCTGGCTGAACTTCCAGCCAGCAGATGCAAGTGTAGGAGCACAGTCCACGCCCTCTGTGGCTTTCCCCTGCATCCATCATCCAGGTGGCACCATCAGAGCACAGCTCCCAAATGCCTTCGTGGGCAGCACAGGTCAGAAATCAACTCGGGAGTGGGACTAAAGGGGACAGCAGCATCCCGGGGGAGAGCAGGAGAAGGCAAGGCTGTTCTGTGTTCATTTAAAACCCTCCTGGACACCTCTAGTAATGGGTGGCTGCTGGGGTGGGCAGCCCTGCAGCAGGGCACTGATACTGGCCGTGAAATCCTACGGAACCCTGAGAAGTCACAGGACACGAATGTCCGTTAACTCGATAAGGAGAAGTACAGACTTGGTCATCAGAGGAGAACGCCCGTTTTGTCAGCGTTCATTTTCAAAGCCCTACCTCCTCGAATGTATGATAAGCCCCAAAGTTGAAGCTTCCGCTTCGTTCTCTTCTCTGGTTAAGTAACATGTCTTCATTCTCTTTGTCCAGCAGAGCCTAAAATCAAGCAGTTGTGTCTGTGATTAGCTTGGGCGATGCCTTTGGACGGCAACTGTGAAGGAACCAGTGGGCTCACCCCACCCACAGCTTCCCTCTTCCTGTGCTTTGGGGTTCACGCTCACGCTAGTCCCTTATTCCCGCAGGATCCCAAAGAGCATGGTGCTTTCCCTGGACTTCTGGACAGCCAGGTGCCACGCAGATAGGGTAAGTCTGTCTCACGGGTTCCTTGCGGGAACCCAGAGCTTGAAATAATCTCTCCTTAATAACTAAATGAGTAACACCTTACTCTTACCTACTTTGACGAACACCTTTCTGTTTGTGCTTGATTTCGTCGTTTGTCCTTCCCTTTTAACTTTTTTTTTTTTAAACTGTATTCCACTAAAGCCAGCAAAAGGGAGTGGATGGTGCCCATTTGCCCAGTCTTCAGGGAAACCCAGGCTTCAGGAAGGCCCCAGTAGCCCCCACATTTCCTTCCCCAGCAGAGGACAAAAGAGGGTGACCCTTCAGTCCACACGACCCAGGGCTCCTCTGGAGGGAAGGTCTGTGGGGCCTTACCTGAACATCTCTGATCATGACGGAGTAGTCAATTCCCTGGGCCTCCAAGAAAACTTTGACTGCCTGGAGGCTGACAAAGGGAACTCGGACATGGGCTGTCTCTTTTGGGGTAGTGGGTGATTTCCAGAAATCAAGCTGAAAAAGTATAAAAGACCAAGGCAAAAAGTGAGTCATTATAGGGAACCGGGCAGCTCAGCACTGACAGAGTTCAAGAAATCAATTCGTATCTATTTTATCTCCAGCCCACGAGACCCAAATCATTGTGGAATCACTATGGTAATACAAAAAAAAAAAAAATCCCCAAGCAGCAGCATATGTGTTAGACTGTTTTCCCCCCTACGGTTAGATACTAAAACTGGCAGGAGGAAAAGATTATTTAAAACTATTGCAGTGTTTTTTTTAACAGTTGACATTCAAGCGATCCAATTTATTTCATAACAGAATATTAATACTATAAATTATTTCAGAAGGGAAATAATGCATTAAAGGTGTCTGGCAATCTAACTTTCCCATTCAGTCTCTCTTCATTCTTAAATTAAGCCCCATGAAAAAAGGTGTATTTATTCGTCATTACACTGAATGAGCCAGTGAGACATGGGGAAGGTAGGTAAGTTGCCCAATATCACATGGTTGGGCTAGGCTCAGTTTTCTGCATCCCAGCCCAATGAGGTAGGGTGCCACACCATGTCACGGAACATGATGTACAGTCCAAAGTAAGACACCTGGATCATCCCATTTCACTGCAGGTAGTCACTCCAAAGTTTCACTTCAGAGAAATCCGCTTTAGGACAAATACCTGAAGATGTTCTTCAGCCTCCAGTTCTGCCAGATTCTTAATTTGTTCTTGATTCCTTGGTGTGATCTCAAGAACCTGGTCTCTAAAGAATATTGAATATATTAATAGGACCTTCAAAGCAAACCTGGACACTTTCTCTTGTTTTCTGCTTCTGTTAGGTTTCCATATGTCAGAAGTCAATGAGCTAGTCAATACTCTTGGACAATCAAGAAACTAACAAATAATATACTGACCCCCATTGCCAGAGTGAGGAGTTGATAAAATGGCTTTCCCTCCCGGGAGGAAATGTTATCTAAATAATAATTAAGTGGTGTACTTGCTTCTTGCAGGAAACTTGCCATTAACATTGTTTTTCCTTTAGTTAATGATTATTTAGCAAATAACACCTGCTGTTCATAAAGCATTGGCTTTTCAAATTTGCCTGTTTCTGCTTTTCAGAAATATTTTAAAGTGAATTAAATGAGTTTGGTACTTATAAGTGCTTGTAGAGGAATCGAAGTCACATCTGAGTAGACCTAAGATTATTGTGGTTCACTAAAAATGCCAGAGTTCCAGCTCAAGTGGAACCAAGATGTGTCTCATGTATTCATATGACCCAATCCAAGGGGCATGGCTAGGAATACTGGAACTGAGAAAAAGCTCTCCACACATACGCACCACTAGACAACATCAAGGGCACCTTAGCTGGAATGAGCAGTTGCAAAACAGACAAATATACATCCTTAGAAGAGTTGGTATCAGGTGAATTCTTACAGTCCTCCTGGTAATAGTATTTCCTCCTTTACCCCTTTCTTCAAGTAGACTGACGTCCAGAATCACTACCCTGTCCATCTGTTTGGTGGGGAAGTTTACAAAGAGCTGCCTACCCAGAACCCAGGTAATTTGAGTGTGGTGAACTCTGGTGGAACATGTAAGAGGTAGGACGTGAGCTCTGCAAGGCTTTCCTGCCTCCAAACACCCTACTAGCCGAGGTCTGAAATTCCTCATTCTAAGATGTCCATTTTAAAATGGACACTAAATTAGGCTAGTATTTCCTAAAGAATAGTTGTCCCTTGCATTGTTCAGCAAAAGTTAAAAAAAA